ACAGACATACACAGAGCATTTCATCCAACAACTGCGGAATACACATTCTTTTCATCAGCCCATTGAAATTTCTCTAGGATTGACCATATGTTAGGCAACAAAACAAGTCTCAACAAGTTCAAAAAACTTGAAGTCATATCAAGTGTTTTTTCTGACAATAATGGAACAAAATTAGATATCAATAACAAGAGGAACTTGTGAAACTACACATATACACATGGAAATTAAACAACATGCTCTTGAACTACCAAAGAAGAGATTAAGAAGGCAATTTTAAAAAGAATGTGAAACTAATGAAGACAGAAACACAACATACCAAAACCTACAAGATACAGCCAAGGCAGTATTAAGAGGAGAATTTATGGCAACAGACACATCAAAAAAATAGAAAGATTTCAAATAAACAGTCTACCAATGCATCTCAAGGAACTAGAAAAGCAAGAACAAACTAATTCCAAAATAAATAGAAGAAAAGAAGTAATAAAAATCAGAGCAGTGATAATTGAAAGTGAGACTAAAAATATAGTACAAAAAATTGATCAAACAAAAAGTTGGTTCTTTGAAAAGATAAAGAAAACTGACAGACCACTAGCCAAACTAACCAAGAAAAAAAAGACAAAAAACCCAAATAAATAAAATCAGAAGTGCAAATGTAGACATCACAACAGATAGCAACAAAATACAAAGGATCATCAGAGACTATTATGAACAACTATATGCCAATAAACATGAAAATGTAGAGGAACTGGATGAATCCCTGGACACGTATGCCCTACCAAGACTGAACCAAGAAGAAACAGAAAATTAAAAAAAAAATAAAAACCAGTAGCATTGGAAGAATGAAGAAAAGAAAAAGAAACCAAGAAAGCTGCCCCATTTACAATAGCAACAAAAAATGAAATAAAATAAAATGCCTGGGAATTAATTTAATCCAGGAGGTACAAGATCTCTACAATGAAAACTATAAAACACTGATTAAAGAAATTAAAGAAGACACACAAAAAATGGAAAGATGCTCCATGCTGATGGATTGGAAGACTCAATATTGTCAAAATGACCAAACTACCCAAAGCACTCTACAGATTCAGTGCAATCCCCATCAAACTACTAATGACATACTTCACAGAAATAGAAACAAAAATGTGTATGGAATGACAAGAGATGCTGAAGAACCAAAGCAATCCAGTCCAAAAGGAATAAAGCAAGGGGTATGTCACTCTGAGTTCAAAATATACTACAAAGAGACAGTAATCAAAACAGCATGGTACTGGTACAAAAACAGACACATAGATCAATGGAACAGAACACAGAATTCAGAAATAAATCCACACATCTACAGCCAACTCATTTTTTAATAATTTATTTTTATTAGCATATTCATTGTTACAAATCATACTTATGCTTTATGCCCCTTATCCAATCGCCCCTCCCTCCTCCCCTTCTCACACCCCCTCGAATAACCATAGATTTGTTCTCTCCATCTGATAGATTAACTATCCTCTGTTGGTTTGTTGCCTAGATGATCTGTCCAGTACTGAGACAGGTGTGATGAAGTCCTCCTATATTACTGTAAATCAAATTTCTTCTATTACTCTGGAGTGTGTTTTGTGGAAAGGACCTCTTCTGTTTTTTTTTTTTTTTTTTTTTTTTCTCCACTGGTGCCTCTCCTTGTGTCAATGCAGTCGAGAGTCTGGCATGCCATCTGCACAGTGGCTGTGACTGCTGCTATAGAGTCTAGCTAATTTTGTGGCAGCCATGGCAACTGCGGTGGCTATGGTGGGCTACCCATGTGAAAATGGTGTTTTTGTTGTGCTCTTTACCTGGTTGGAGCTGGATTCAGCTTCCTTAGCTCCATGCCTCAGGACCCCATTGGGGCCCAGGGAAGTGGCAGCACCTTGCCTATTTGTGGCTGGGTTCTGCTTCCCATGGCTCCATGCCTCAAATCCCCAGCTGGGCCCCAGGGTGGTGGCGGCAGCTTGCCCAAACGCATCTGTGTTTGGCTTCCTCTTAGCCAACGGGTTTTTGACAAAGGTGCCAAGACCATACATTGGGGAAAGGACAGTCTCTTCAACAAATGGTGCTGAGAAAACTGAAGATCCATGTGCAGAAGAATGAAACTAGACCCCTGTCTCTCACCATATATGAAAATCAACTCAAAATGGATCAAAGACTTAAATGTAAGGCCCCAAACCATAAAACTCTAGAAGAAAACATAGGGGAAACACTTCAGAACATAGGCCTGGGAAAAGGCTTTATGAATAATACTTCAGAAGCACAGAGAACAAAAGCAAAAGTTAACAAATGAGATTATATCAAACTAAAAACCATTTGTACAGCAAAGGAAAGAAGTAACAGAGCAAAAAGACAAACTGCAGAATGGAGAAAATATTTGCAAACTATGTATCCAACAAGGGATTGATATCTAAAATATGCAAAGAATTCAAAGAACTCAATAGTGAGAAATGAATAATCCAATTTTAAAATGGGCAAAGGAACTGAACTGACATTTTTCGAAAGAAGACATACAAGTGGCCAACAGACATGAAAAAAAGCTCAATGTCACTAATCATCAGAGAAATGCAAATCAAAACCACAATGAGATATCATCTCGCCCCAGTTAGAATGGCTATTATTAGGGCCGGCCCGGTGGCGCACTGGAGAGTGCGCCGCTTGGGAGCGCGGCGGTGCTCGTGCCGAGGGTTCGGATCCCATGTGGAGACTGGTTCCCGCTCACTGGCTGAGCA